TGAGGGCTTCTAGTCTGGTTGATCTCCTCCTTGGTAGAGAAGCCAGGGCAGGAAGAACCAGGGACTCTGTGTGCACTCAGCTACAGATAGTTCCATGTCATGAGCTCGGTCTATAGAGCGAGAGGCCTTGGATCTTATGCAGACATCGGTGAACAATGATGATACAGACACCAGCCAGTATCCAGACTTCCATCTCCCTTGCTGTCATGTCCAAGTAGGCAGATGGAATCACAGCAGAGCCCCTGGTCACAAACCACTGCTTTGCCGGGATGGGGCATGCTAGCTCTGTCTGGGCTCCCACTGATATTATACAGGCACGTCAGAGAAACTGCCTATTCTGGAGATCCTGGGTTCTGTCTTCCATGTGATTCTAATGCCAGGTGCCTTCCTGGGAGCTGACTGAAGATAATCTGGGATATGACACTATTCTTTGCCAATCAAGCAAACTCTGTGACTGGGACACCTGGATGGCTCGTGAATCCTTTCCAAGGCCTCCTTGGAACACAGGGTCTGTTTGTCCTGCATCATTCCTGTCTCCTCCACTCGGCTTTCTACCAGCCTGGAGTGCTCTCTGCTTAGTTCATGGGATAGGAACTTACCACAGCCTAACTACAGCTTTCAAAAGAAAGGTCACTTGGTATTCCTGAAAGCGGATTTGAGGCTTCAACTGTGTCTTGCTGTGCTGTCTCCTCCTCCTGCGTCTCATTCTCTCCTATTTAGCCTGTCTCTGGGTGGGGAGGCTCAGTGAGGTGCCTTGTCCAGATAGTGAGGTAGTCTGTCAGCAAAAACAAGTCCCTTCCCCATCATACTTCTGTCCTGAAAGTTGAAGGTGTGAGTTGCTCCCCCTTGGACCCACCTCCAATGGGAGGTAAAGGGGCCGACCACCCATAGCATCCAGAAATGGAGAGTCTTTTGGGGTTGTCTTGATGGTGTGCAAATGGGATCCACCTCTGGGGAGGTTAGTAGAAAAGGCACTTTAGAATTCAAGATGGCGGCAGATTGAGGGGAATGGGAAAAAAGTTGTTTGGATCCCATAGTTTTTGGGGTTCCCGTGGATGTACCATTCCCCCTGTAATGGTTCTTGGGATCTCTGTCCATACTGTGGGCAGAATAATGTGGTTTGGGAGAGATGGGGAGGAGAGAGAGACAAACAGAGCCAGAGCCAGAGCCAATAAATCACCAGGAGCCAATCTTGCTCCTCTGGGACTCCAGGCAGGCCTCTTCATCTCCCAGAATCTCAACTTTTCCCATCTAAGAAATGAGGCTGAGAAAGCCTACCTCCCAAGCAGGCTCTGAAATCAAGAAGCATTGGATAGGTGTTCAGGAACTATCAGGCCAAGTTAAGGAGGGTCCAAGACTTGCATTGCAGGAAGGGACATGGGCCCATTCATGAAGAGGGGTAGTGGCTCCTTATGCTCCCAAAGGAGTTAAACTCGAGTGGCCCCAGCAGAGGCTGGAGGGTGGGGCTGCAGTCAGAGGAGGGGAACTTCACATTGGGGCCCTCTTGTAGGGGTCACTGCCAAGGACAGGGCAGAGCCACCCTATTGGCAACATTCATAGCCTTAATTATTTTCTTCCAAAAACACAGCTGGGAAATCAAAGATCACTGGTCACACAGGACGGGTGTTGGCCAGATGGCCTTTCTATTACCCCAGTCAGCTTAAAGACATTTTTTGGAGTTTGTCATGTCAGACAGATGAAGAAAATCAACTGCTGGTTGCTTGTTTGCAGAGTGAATCAGATTGTAGGCTAATAGGCCCATTGGACAGATGGGAGAGCCCCTCACCCCATCCCCGTGGCTTGGTACTCTGTCTAGCATCATCTGGCAACTTGGGGCCTCTTGAAGTGAGTGGTGGCAGATGCAGATTCTAGGAGGAGCCTTGAGAAAAGGCCGTTTATGCTCTTTAGTCTGGAACTCATCCCCAAATGTATTCATGGCTCACCTTGCTCTGGACAGTTGTTTGTGTTGTGGTGTGTGAGTGTGTATGCGAACTCAAAGGCTAGAGGACAACAAGCCAAAAAAAAAAAAGATCTCAAGGATTTTGCCCAGTGTATAACTTGATTCTCTAATGAGGTTGTGTCCCGACCAGCAAGAGGGCGATGGACCTAAGCGAGAAGGAATGAAGGGACAAGAGACACGAAGAATGACAGCAAGACAAGGATTCTGATCAAGCTGCCAATTTTTATTTTTCACACAGGGGTATTTATATGCTTGGAATAAGGAAGCTTTTTCATTGGCCGAAGCAGCTGCAGGGTGCTTGCTTAGGGCAAGGTGAAAAGGTGGTCGTTAGTAGCTGCAGGGTGTTTGCTTAGGGCAAGGTGAAAAGGTGGTCGTTACTTAGGGCAGGGTGAGAAGGTGAAACAGCCTCAAGATGTTCCAGTGAGGTAGTTGGCTCCCAACAGGTTGGGTCGGGGAGTGGATGGCCTTGTTCCTCTTTATGACTTGTCTCTCTCTCTCTTTCTCTCTTTTTTGGTCGTGGGGCTTGAACTCTGGGCCTGGGCACTGTCCCTCAGCTCTTCAGCTCAAGACTAGCGCTCTACCACTTAAGCCACAGCGCCACTTCTGGCTTTTTTTTGTTTATGTGGTGCTGAGGAACGAACCCAGAGCCTCGTGTATGTGAGGCAAGCGCTCTACCACTGAGCCACCTTCCCAGCCCACAACTTGGCTATCTTGGCTGGCTTGTGTCACCTCCCTGGAGAAGCCTTCCCAGAATGCCCCTACTGAAAGGGTTCCTATTGGTCCTGATTGTTTGTCTGCCACCAGCCACTCAGCTTACTGCTCTTGACTGTCCCTTCTTATGGAGCAGGCTTCTACCATTTCCAGCTCTTACTGGAAAGACCCAGGCTGAGTAAGCAGGCCCTCAGGAGGTCTCTCTGCTGGACACCTTTCTCCCTTTGCTGCACTGGAATAAGGGATGAGTTGAGTCTAACCTGACCCAGGGGATCTGAGGGGTAGAATGGGGTGGAGACAATCAGGTGACTTCTCAGAGTGACTGCCCATCCCTGACTGGACAACCTGGTTCCTCTGTCATCACCCATTGAGAAGAGGTAAAAGTCAAATCAGAGCCTTGAAGCAACTTCCAGAGAGCTCCAATGCCTCTGCTGGTGGACTTCCAGGCCTGGTCTTTAAGGCATGGAAGTAGTTGTGGTTTGGAGCTCGCTTGGGTTAGGGTGTGAAACTCTGCTCTTGCTCCAAGACCATGAGGAGTCCAGAGGGAGAGAACCTTAGGAGGTATGGCTATGTCTCCATCTGAATCTTTATCTGTGGATCACATGACTGTAGGGGAGGGGTGAGAAGTCCCATATAGTCTTCTGCAAGCCCGAGACCCTGAACACTGGTGATAGGGTTCAGTCCAAGTTCAAAGGCGTCAGAAGGCCCAGTGACGGGCTTTTCAGTCCAAGGTGGAGAGAGCCTGGAGCTCCAGAGTTGGTGAGAAGAGGGTCCCAGTTCCAGGAGAGAGAAGGGAATGTATGTGTGTCTGTGTGTCTGTGTGACTGTGTGTCTGTGTGTATGTCCTTGTTCTATTTGGGCCACCAGCAGATTAGATAATGTCTGCTCACGTTTAAGGCTAGTCTTCCTACTCAGTCCACTGACTCACAGACCCATATCCTCTGGAAACACTCACTGACACACCCAGAAAATGATGCTTGACCAGTTAGTTCTCGGGATATTCCTTTATCCAGTCAGGCTGACATTGAAAATTAATCATCTATTACTTTAGCCTTGTCTGGACCTCAGTGTTTCCTATGTAAAACAGGAGGGGTAGATTCTAGCTCAAGTGGGTTGGGAAGATTAAATAAGACAGAGTCAGAGAGACATTTATGACACTGTATGATGCACTTAAATATTTCAGAAACCAACAGGAAACATTTAATTAATCCTATTAATTCGAAGAAGAGAAAAAGAAACACCAAACAATCAAAACCTTTTTGAATAACCCTATAGCCCAAGAGAATATTAGAAGATGTGCAAGAATATACATATTCAAACATCTGGGATGTATACAACAGGGTATTTAGAAGAATATCAATCATAGCCTTAAAATATCTTTATTAAAATATTAAGGAAGAGAAATCCTTGTCAGCAGGGCTTTTTTTTTTTTTCTCTATTTGCGTTTTGCTTGCTGATCTAGCCCAGAAGAAGCTGAGAGAAAGACAAATGGGGTAGACTTTGTGGTCAAGAGAAGAAAATGGAGGAGGAGGAGGAGGAGGAGGAGGAGGAGGAGGAGGAGGAGAGAAGAAGGAAGGTGGGAAGAGACCACAACTAGAAGCCCTCAGGATCAAAATCCCAGGGCCAGCTGGGCGCTGGTGGCTCACGCTTGTCATCCTAGCTATTCAGGAGGCTGAGATCTGAGGATTGCCGTTCAAAGCCAGCTGGGGCAGGGAAGTTCGTGAGACTCTTATCTCCAAGTAACCACCTGAAAACCAGAAGTGGTGCTGTGGCTCAAGTGGTAGAGTGCTCATCTTGAGCTGAAGAGCTGAGGGGCAGTGCCCAGGCTCACAGTTCAAGCTTCAAGCCCCATGACCAGAAAAAAAAAAAAAAAAAAAAAAAATCACAGGGCCAGACAGTGTGGCTGATACCAGCTAGAGCATACCAATAAAGAAGTTCATCCCTCTCAGATCAATCTAGTATCTTCTATGTAAAGTCATCCTGTTATTTATTGTCTAAATCTTGGGCTTTTCAGCAGGAAGAAGGGCACTGTTTACAGCCATGCCAAGACAACAGAGGTAAATGATTCAGTGTCCCACAGATGAATCACAGAACCGCTCTTCTCACATGTAACCTCAGAGGAAGCCAGGGCAGATGTGTGTGATGCGGGTGTATGTGTGTGCGTGAAACGCTGGACTCACAGAAATTACCAGAAATCTACTAACAGGAAGCAAAACTTCACATAATTACAACCAGTGACATATTTTTTAAAATAGCTTTTTGTTTTCATAGTGAAAGCTTCCTTTTTTGCAACCAATTAAAGCAACACACATGCATACACACAGAGGAAGAAATTGATCGAGTACTTTAAGGGTCTTTTTGGGGTAAGGGTCCTGTTTGCCTGCGTTGGGCAGGTTCTGTACATGAAGCAAGCAGCTCACAGGGCCCAGGAACCAACATGGTGACATGAAAGGCTTCTCGTCCTGGAAGCCCAAAGCTAGTCCTGGCTGAAAATTCAAAGATAAACACAGAAACTAGTTTCAAACTTGGAACGTGGAGTCTGGAGATGGAGAGAGCTCCTCTTCTGAGAATTTGGAGGAGTCTTTGGCTGAGCCAAACCCTTCCTCTTAGTGGTGAGGACCAGAGGGTCCACAGTCTCTCTTTTCTTACTGAGCAAGAAAAGAAACATATTCAACGAAGCCTCCAGCATCTGATCCTTCCAACTATGAGTCTGCATCCTGTGTCCATGATCTTGAACTAAAAGGTGCGGAGAAAGGGTTTCCTGGGAAGGGGAAGGAGGGAGGGAGGGATGTGAGGACAGGCCAAGAATGTTCTGGGGAAATTGGCTAGCACCCTGGGTAGGCAGGAGGGGTATCCTGTGGGGTATGGATGCCCACTCTGCAGCTTCACCTCTGGGTTTACAGGAACACACTTGGGAGCTTGATGTTTCCACATTCTTCCTGGGACTTGCAGACCCTTGAGGTTGAAGCGCCAGGTGCCTACAGTTCTTAGCTTTGCCATGTTGTGCAGCTGACCTTGTTTTTCCGGGCCTCTCTTTTTCTTCTGGCTGCCGAATGGGCTAATAGTACACCAGATGGTGATGATGCCATCATCAGTAGGGAGGCACCTGAGTGGGCTCAGCCTTCCAGAAAGATCAGAGACTCACTCCCATCACCTCCCCCCACCCCCACCTCTGCCCTCTGCTCATTCCTCCAAACACAAGCTTAGTTGGGCAATCAGAATGGCTCAGATTCCTGGGACAATAGCAGATTCCAGTACTACTGTTTTTCAGTGCAGGATGAGGATTTGAGAGGTGCCTGCCACTCCCCCCCAACCCCCCCACCTCTACCCGCCCTGGATTAGGTCTCAGCATTCTCCTCCATGTCCACTTCAATGGTCTTCTAGACCTACTTCTGAGACTACCATTAAGTCGGGCCTCTTGTGAGGGATTGAGGGGGAGGGGAGGTACACAGGAGCCCTTTCTCCACCTCCTCAGTTCGACGTGTAATGATTAGGGCTCTTGAGGGCATCATCCCCATCCCTCCCCCTTCCCACCAAGGCCCCTTAACTTATCTGAATCCTGGTATCCTCCTTTGTGTGGACGTAGAGCTGTGGCTCTGGTGACCTGGGTCACCTTCCCCCCCAACCCCCCTCACTTTAGGCTGGCTGGCAGAGGTCCCTTTCTCCTTTGCAAATCTACCTCTCACTTCTCTGCCCTCTTTCTCCTGTTTCACTTCCCCTCACTCCTCTCCCCCACCCCCAGCTTGCTGCTTCTTGGGGCAGAACTGAGGTCCTTTCATATCCCTCACCCTCGCTCTGTTTGCTTTCCTGGCCGGGTGCAGACAGCAGGAGGCCCCTGCTGTCCATTAATGACTTCCAGACACAGCCCAGAGCACAGCTGAGCAGCTGGGCAAAGCAAGGCAGCGGGAGGCCAGGCAAACAGGAGTTGGAGAAAGACGGAGCCACTGGGGAGGAAGAAGAAGCTGCAAAGAGGGCCACGTGGTCAGGACTCCGCCTCACATTTGGAGAGATCCAGAATGTGTCTGCTGACGTTAAGGGCTATGCCTCCAGACCCTCCTTGGAAGTCTGTCCCTTCCCACCCAGTGCAGCCCATTGGTCTACCAGATCCTCAGCTGAACCCTACTCTGCCCTGCTTACCAGCCGTGTCTCTGGCATGTCTCCATTTCCTGCCTGGTATTTCACCTTCCCTGCCTTCCCTCAGGCTATACCTTGTTGTGTGTGTGGGGGGGGGAGGGGACTTTCCTTCACCCGTCCCTTAAGGCCTATTGTCACAAGCCTCTATGTCCACAGTCTCAGGTCTAATTGCCTATGGTACCTCTCTCCTGGCATAGAGCTCCCGATAACCTATTCTATAAATTAACAGCGCAATAGAAACAAATTATCTACCACAATCAAGTTGATTTCATTCTTGACATGCACACAAACCAATAAATCTAATACAATACATGAAGATTAAAATCACATGATTATCTTAGTAGATGCAGAAAAATCCTTCAATAGAATTTAGCATCCCTAGCCTGGCACCGGTGGCTCATACCTATAATCCTAGCTACTCAGGAAACTGAGATCTTAGGATCACCGTTCAAAGCCAAGCTGGGCAGGAACATCTGTGAGACTCTTATCTCCAATTAGCCACCAGAAAACGTGAAGTGGCGCTTTGGCTCAAGTGGTAGAGTGCTAGCCTTAAGCTGAAGAGCTGAGGGACAGCTCCCAGGCCCTGAGTTCAGCCCCATGACTGATAAAAAACAATAACAACAAAAAGAATTCAGCATCCCAGCTGGATGCTAGTGGCTGTGGCTCATGCCTGTAATCCTAGCTACTCAGGAGGTTGAGATCTGAGGATTGCGGTTCAAAGCCAGCCCAGGCAGGAAAGCCTGTGAAACTCTTATTTCCAATTAGAAAACTTTCATTTCTATCGGAAAACCAGAAATGGAACTGTGGCTCAAAGTGGTAGAGGATTAGCCTTGAGCAAAAGATCTCAGGGACAGCACCTAGGCCCTGAGTTCAAGCCCCATAACCAACAACAAAAAAAATCAAACTACCATGAGAAAACTGAAATGGGACAGAAAGATTAAGACTATAAGCCAAACATATGGAAGAAGATGAAGTTCTTGGATATAAAACATAACAAATGTCCACTTCTTTAAATTAGAATTGAATTGTAATTGTGCTCTGGGGAAGTGGAGGAGGAAGAAGGGACAAAATGATTTAAATATTTACAGGGAAGTGTGAGTTTACAAGGAAATTATTAAACAAAATAGAGGGAAATTGACTGGCCAGATGTTGATTACTTTATAGTCACTTTAATTGAAAATAGCACCTGGAATGACCTGTCTATTCAGCCTGCCATTTCAGGACATGTAAGTTTCCTATGAGCCACTGGATATCTGGGAGGTGGCTGGCCTTGAGTTAACCCAAAAGATCTCGCTGGATAAACTTCCAAACCAAAGGCAGAGGGAGGGTCTTTCAATGCCAACCAAGGAGGCACTGCCAGTCTGGCAGCCAAGAGTTCCCTGCTGGCCACTAGTGGCTCACACTGGTAATTCTAGCTACTCAGGCAGCTGCGCTCTTGGGACTGAGGTTTAAAGCATAGGCAGTAAAGTCTATGAGACTCTTACCTCCAACTAACCAGCAAAACAGCTAGAAGAGGAGGTGTCTCTCACACCTGTAATCCTAGCTATTCAGGAGGCTGAGATCTGAGGATTGAGGTTTAAAGCCTTGCCTGGGCAGGAAATTCTGAGACTCTTATCTCCAATTAACCACCAAATGCCAGAAGTGAAGCCGTAGCTCCAGGGGTAGAACACCAGCCTTGAGCGAAAAAGCAAAGGGACAGTGCCCAGGCCCTGACTTTTAAAGTCCCAGTACACACACACACACACACACACACACACACACACACACACACACATGAATTCCTGCCTCCCCCCCCCCCCACAGGGTGGGCGGCTCACTGAGAGAACTCCTTAGGCACTCACCCAGCAGAGAAGGAAATAACCTTTAGACATCTCCCATACCCTAAAGGCTTAAGCACCAGGCAAGAATGATATCTCTCCTCTTACCCTCCAACTCAAGAGGAGCAGGAAGATTACATCACCGCATAGTGAAGAAGCCAACCAGGCCTCTCCAGGTATCCCAGCATGAGGTTGATACCATTGGAGTTGAGGACCACTGCCAGAGCTTCAGAGAGACATTTCCCATGGCACGGGAAAGGAATGTGATGTAAAAGAAGAAACTCTCTGCTTGCAACTCTTCATTCAATCAGGTGCCCATCCGTTCTGTTATTAGTCTACAAATGTATTTGTTTCCTGTGGCTGCTAGAACAAATGACCACAATTTGAATGGCTTAAAACAAAAATAAATAAATAAACAAAAAAGAAGTTCTCTCATAGTTCTGGAGGCCAGGCCTCTGAAATCAATCGGTTGGCCTTTCTCTGAGAGGCCTGTGAGTAGTGAGGACCAGGAAAGGCCAAAGTTAAACAGACTTCCTCAGCCCACCCCAGCTTTAGTCCTGGCTACACCATGTCTCAGCAGTAGCCGGGAGCAGGTGTCACCCCCATTCTTGCAGTGAGAGGAAATCCCTCTTCCGGCCAGCTAGCTGTGGACATAAGCAGAATGAATGAATAGAGGTAGGGGGATTGGTCACTGGAAAACTCAGAGCAGTCTGGTTCTCAACACTATATCTGGCCATCCCTTCCTTTTGTCCCTCTGCTCATTCTCTTCCCAATGGGTGGATCTCCAATGGGTCTATCTCCATTATACAGAGAGGCCAAGCTTCAGCAGAGAAGTCTCCCAGCCCGCACAGTGCCAGTCCTGAGCTGGCCAGCTGCTGGGAGGGTCTCTCCACCCCAAGGTCAAAGTACTTCCCCGGTATTCAGCAACCCAAATTGCAGACAAACAGCTCTGATCCCATCATCACTGCTGAAAATGGGCGGCAAGAGTGACAATGGGAATAAGTCAGAGGCTGGCTGAGCAGGGAAGGAGAGCTGTGTGGCCCGGCAGGGAAGAAATGACAGGCGTCATAAACAAGCATGACTTCACGCTCGTCTCCGCACACGCCCCTCTGAAGTCAGACAGACCCCTCCCGTCCCCTGGGCCCACTGTACACACCACGAGGCTGTGTATTCCTGGGGGTGAATCTGTGGCTTGCGCAAGGACCACAGGCACGTGGGCTGTGTGGGGGAAGACACACAGGTTCTGCCCTGGGAACCCCGGAATAAGTCCTAGACATCTCTCTATGTGGGGCCTTGGCCTGGGTTCTGGGAACATGGGGTGGGTCTTTACCCTCCAGACCCCCAGCCCTGGAGGGGAATGCACAGCTATGGGAATCTGCCATCACATTACAGAGTCAGGCAGGATGAGTGGGGGAACATCTATGGCCTACGGTGTTCAAGAAGAAGAGAGCTTTCTCCTGCAGTGGGTCAGAGGAAGCATCCAGAAGGAAGAAATCTAAAGATAAGGAAAGAGACTCCATCCAGGCAAGGAGGACTGGAAGGCCAACTACAAAGTTCAGTGGATTGGGACCCAGGATGCGGAGACCCAGGGATCTGCTGATCCATCTGACCAACGTTCTTCCAGGAGCCACAGGCTCAGGGGCTATGGCCACCAGGTGGACACCATGTTGAAATCTTCCTACCACAAGGATTCTTCTCTTCCTCCACTCCATGGATGAAGTGATAGCCAGAAAGGCTGCTGTTCCATGTAAGCTGTGGCCTCAGACCACCCAGAACCCCTCTAGGATACCCTGAATTTGCCACTCATCCTCCTATGTCAATAATTTTCATGTGCTCCCCATCCTGACCACAACCCCCAGCTCACATAGCAGGCTGCCCACATCTCTCAAGCTGCCTGAGACCAGGCCCTGAAACACCAGCTTCAGGCTTTTCAGCTGGGACATTAGGAGGAGGGTGAGGCCTGAGCAGGGGAGTGCCCAACTCTGGTTTCTGAAAGTACCCTCTCTCTACACCCTCATTCTGCTCATGTTCAAAGCTGATGGACAGGCAACATGACCTCCATACAGGATGGGGGGGTGGACATACTTCCTTAGGGAAGCCTCCAGCTGTCCTGGCCCTTCAGGCAGCTGAGGGCAAGAATACAGAGCATGCTGGCCTTCACTAGAAAGCTGGCAGGATGCACATACATAGATGGCCTACTGAAGAAGCAAATCGCTGGCTGGGATTGTGGCCAAGCTGGAAGGGATAGTCTTGTTTGAAGAGATGGCTGTGTACTCTGCTAATTACCACTTGCTGCCCTCTCTCACATATTCTTAGACCCTGTGCTCCTGG